GTTTAACAGAGTTGAACTTCTCTTTTAGGATGGAGTCAGACTGAAGATCTATCAGTTCCAACTGCAGCTCCTGTGGTGCTGTTTCAGGGTCTTGTGACAGGGGACAGGACACCAGCTGAAATGACTGTTCAATGTTTTCAAAATCAGTGAACCTACGGCAGAATTCTCCGTGCAGGTCCTCAAGTGATTTGCTGTATTTTTTTGCGTTTCGCGGTGCCTCTTCCTGCATGGCAAGTGTAGGGAAATGAGCGAAAGATTTTTTCGCAATTTGTCCGGAGAACAAAGTGAGCTTGGATTTGAAGGCTTTCACATGTTTGTACATGTCGTGAACAAACTGATCTTTCCGCTGCAGTTTCACATTCAGCTCATTCATGTGTGAAAATATGTCCACAGCAATCGCAAATTCACTAAGCCAGTTCTTGTCGCTTAGCTCAGGGAATTCATCAGATTTCCCCATCAACTCCAAAAATCCGATGATGTCCTCTTTCAGCTCCCACACTCGTTGTAACACTTTCCCCAAACTTAACCAGCGGACACGAGAGTGGTACAGCAAGTCCTGATGATCCGCATCAGTTTCCTCCAGGAACGTAATAAACTGACGGTGCTGAAGTCCCCTTACTCGTATAAAGTTCACAAGTTTTACGACTGGATTCACGACATGATTAAGCTGCAATACAGACTTACACAGGGATTCCTGATGGATGATGCAGTGAAGGAAAATAAGATCCTGGACAGGGTTTTCCTCTTTCAATTTATCCTGGATTCTTTTCAGCAGCCCAACATTTTTTCCAGTTAAATTTGGCGATCCATCCGTTGTGACATTGACAAGTTTACTCCAAGGTAGCTTCATTCTTTCAATGATAGCAGATACCTGGTTATACAGGTCCTCTACCCACGTTGTTCCTTTTAGGGACTCCATGGTCAAAAACTCCTCTGTTATCGCAAAACTGTCGTCAATGCCTCGGATAAAAATGAGGAGCTGAGCAGTGTCTTTTACGTTCGTACTTTCATCCAGTGCTAGTGAATATAATTCAAAGGAATCAGACTTTTTGTTTATTTGACTGGCTATATTTTCATCAATCAGTTCCACACGGCTAGTCACAGTCCTGCATGATAAACTGACTTTTTCAAATTTGCTTTTGATCTCCGGACACAAGATGTCTGCTGTCTGTACCATGCATTCTTTTACAAACTCGCCTTCGGAGAAAGGCTTGCTAGCCTTTGCTATTTCGAATGCCACCAAAAAACTTGCCTTGGTAGTTGCTGAGTCTGTAAATTAGCCGCCAACCTCTGAGCCGTAGCCGCCCGTTCTTTCGTTGACTACTTGCTAGCGTAGTTAGCATGCTTCGTAGCAAAGTGACGGCTGATGTTGTACTCCTTGAAAACTGCGATATTTTCTCGGCATATCAGGCATACAGCCTTCGATTGGACTTCGGTGAAAAAGTATTATCAGAGTTGCTTCTTTTTGTTTGCTTTTTTGACTACTTGTGTTGTGGTTATTGCAAACATGATGCCTTGAATAAAGGTGTCAGTTTTTTTTACCAGTTTAAAAGGGTAAAAACCTACTACTATATTTTGCCACTGGTAAAAGAGATCTCATAGTGTAAATGCTTACCCCGAGCTCTCAAGACTCTGATATTGCACTGTGTTTGAGTTGTACGCCTTCTGGTGTCATCTGGTCCAACACCAATGGGGACTAGGCTCTAAAAAAGAGCCGTCTCGGGTGTGGACCAATCAACTTCAAGGACAGTGCATATTATTATCATTATCAGAGTTGCTTCTTTTTGTTTGCTTTTTTGACTACTTGTGTTGTGGTTATTGCAAACATGATGCCTTGAATAAAGGTGTCAGTTTTTGTACCAGTTTAAAAGGGTAAAAACCTACTACTATATTTTGCCACTGGTAAAAGAGATCTCATAGTGTAAATCATGTGCCCTTTCGAGCCCGAAACACCACGCTCACGGTCAAAGTGCGCCCTCTAATGGGAAAATGGGGGCATTACAGGAGGAAGGTAAAATTTAATTTAATAATAATAATATTTGGACAAGTTCGGCGAGCCGGATTGAAAAGCCCAACGGGCCGTATACGGCCCGCGGGCCGTGCTTTGCCCATGTCTGCTCTAGAGAGTCCTTCTAGACCAGAGGTGGGCAATGAAAATTCGGTAAAGAAAACCCTCGATATTTCAAGAGCCGCAACGCGACGTGAATACAAGACCGTGGGGTCCTTAATAAACAACGTCACGACGCAGTCCTCAAAGAGCCGCATTCGTCTCCGGAGCCGCAGGGTGCAGACCCCTGTCCTAGACGGTATATGGGCCTACTCTTCCACGCTGGCCAGATGCCGTGGAGGATGCGGTAGTATTCGCAATTTCCCCCATCCACACGCGACCTGTTTTTTTCCGCTGGGTAAACAAGAGATGGGGATTTTGAGGAAACTTGCACCGTTGTTTCAACTGCTGCGCCGGAAGTTCAAATGGAAAAAGGCGATCTCTGCATTGCACGTCCAGTGTGCTGACTATTACACCATCCATATAATTTATATCAATCATAAATGGTCGCACGGGATTTTAACCAGCGAAAGAAAGCATTACATTCCTTCCGAATAGTGTCCCAACCGCAGCTGGTGACAATTCATTGGCGTGAATGCAGCCACTAAAATTATCTGGTAGACCCAGGGGAAGCAATTCGACCACTTTTCTCTCAGGGTACGACATCAATTGCATCTGGCAAAACGTCAAAAACAGCTAATCTGAACGCACGTTGATTCTAAATGTGGAGGGAAAATTGGAGGACCCGGACAAAATCCACGCGACCACGGGGAGAGAGAGACACGCAAACTCCAAATATATAACAGGCGTCAGGGTCGAGATCGAACCCATCACCCTCCTGCATGCCAGGTGTGGCAATAAACATCTCACCACCGCGGCACCATTCCTTGCACCGAGGATTTGATTCCTTGCACCCGAAGGAACTTCGCAATGACACATACGGGGCTTGATTTCTCACGGAATATTTTCATATATTTTAAGGACCCACAAAACCCCCTCCTCCCCCTACCTTGTACCACCCCCACCACCCTGAGGAAGAGGTGGGGCCTCAGGAAGCAGGGAAATATTTTCTGTAACCCAGCCCAGGACGGCTCTGGCCGAAATTAAGCCGCCCCGGGCACGCCTACGTTCAACCACGTGCCCCTACAAACTCGATCAGCATGTGGTTAGTACGGAACATTAAAACATGACAGGCAGGGTTTCGGGTATTTTTCTTTCCATTCAAGCAGTAACAGTGCCATACTCTTTGGTTTTTTCGGTAATGTCACGAAAGAACCAAAGAGTTTGGATTCCTGCAGTCACAAAAGCTTCAAATCAAGATAGTAACAGTGCCAACCTAAGCAACTGACCTTTTGGCTTATGAGAAGAAAAAGGGGGGGGGGGCAGAGGGCGATGGGGAAGAAAAAACATCAGAATCAGAATATTTAGTTAGACTGGAGAAGTACAATGAGCTATGAAGCTCTTTTTCACAGACGCCCAGTTAAAGGGCCGCTGCAGCGTTGTCCGAATGAGAAAGACCGATTCATTCTGAGCAATACATCGGTGTCTATTGATCCCACCACACCTCTTCAGCGGAAGAGTAGAGAGAATACAAAGTAAAATAATCGATTTTATGTGGCCTCGTCGTCAACATCAAGAGGTCATCGTGGCCAAAGCCATCGATGCCACCACCACTGCTACCGCACCTCATCGCCAGCACCTTCCACCCTCCACCTGATCCCACAGCTGATGCACAGTCGACACGTGACCTCCAATATCTGCCCTGACAGTAGAAAAATTAAAACCTAAAATACTTTTTTCATGTTACCAGGTAAGGCCCACTGAGCTCTAAAGCTATTTTTAAGAATTCTAGATTTGAAGCTTTCGTGACTGCAAGGATTCATATTCTTGGGGTTTTTTCGGTAAAGTCACGTAGGTAAAAAAATAAAATTAAAATTAATAAAAGTAAAATAAAAATAAAATAAAATCACGACGTTTCGGAGGCAACACAAGCTTCCGTCTTCAGGTGGAACCGTCACAGCACGCTTGCTGTATCAAGTAAATGAGAAATTTCAAGAGATCCGACCTTGTATATATACTGGTTGAGGGGAAAGGAGCCAGGGTAGGCCCCTGGATAGGAGTTATTTTTTATTTTTAAGAAGTGACCTGGCCGCCACAAATGATAGCTCGACGAATTGGCTTATCGCACGGAAATGTATAGCAACCAAATACTCTAAATGCGTGATGTCGATTCAAAATGTGGAGGGAAAATCGGAGGAGCCGGAAAAATATCCACACGACCACAGGGAGAGAGACACTCAAACTCCAAATATATACGGCAGGCGTCAGTGTCGGGATCAAACCCACGATCTCCTGCATACCAAGCGAGGGACTTACATCTCGCCACCGCGGGCCCCCCCCCTTCCCCGTGCCATGTGTTCTTTGGTTTTTCCCTCGGTCGCCGCACTCACGTGGTGGAGACCAACCCTCCACGCACGTCCCACCGAGTGCATCTGCTTTTGTCTCACGGCATTGTAAAAGCATCAATGAACACGCAAGCTCGTACCACATGTCACCTCCCCGCCCCCCGCCGTGTGACGATGATAAACCTCGCACGCCCGCAGTGTGCACAAATGCGATAGATTCCAGATAGGGTCGGTAAAGTTGGCCCCCACCCTCGCTTCGTCAAGGACAAGTGGAGTTCCACCGCAACTCCAACGGCAACACCTGGCCATTGACTCAGTAATAACCCCCACTGATCGTGGACTCCCCCGTGTATGGAAAGGTTCCATCGGTAGCACAATCGGCATTTGCCTCGCTGTAACAGAAGAGTTAAAAAATGAAAACGCACTCAAAAAAATAGTACCGCATTTTTTTTCTATAATGGCGCGGGGCGTCTCTTTGTTCCGTACGTATCTTAAAACGCGTCAAAGCTCTGTCAGGCCGCACGTGTGGGGCCCAGCGGGGCACGGACCTCTGGTCTTGTGGCACTTGCAGCTCTCCACGCACTCCTCGGTCGTGTGGAAGTTGTTGTCGTTGCCTCCGCAGCCGCCGTAGATGAAGATCTCGCATTGGCCCGTGGTCATGTTGTAGAAGTGACGCGGGATGGCGGCCTTGCAGTTGCCAGTCACCGGCTCAAAGCGGCACTTCTTGGGCACCTCTGCAGTGGGGGGAGGGGGAGGGGTGGTGGAGACACGGCGGGGAGTTTAAACACCGACGTGCAAGGGCAATGACGATGGCGGGGCGTGCAGATGAATGTCGCAGTGGGACTAACTTCTATGGCACATGTCGTGATGGGTACTTCAAGATTGGATGTTCAGTGCTCACCCGAGCTGCTTTGGTTTCTGGTTGCCAAACGAATACATGATGAGGTCGCACTCTTTACGCACAAATTGCTCGCCACAAAGGAACCACGATACCTTGCTGATCTCGTCAAGGAGCATAAACCATCGTGCAAACTCCGACCATCCTCGCAGCGGATTTTGGCTAACCAAGACGGTCACCGCATCACGCGCTTTCAGATGCAGCCGTCTGGAATGCTCTTCCGTCCGCTATTAGTAAGCCAAAGGACGTATGGACTTTCAAATCTAGTTTCTAAACTAATTTCTTTATAACTGCTTTTTGTGTTTAGTGTGTTGTCCTTCCCCCGCACCTCTGATTAACACTGTTGTCTACGTAAGGTGCGAAACAAGTTCAACAAACATAAATAGTGCTGGTGGCAAGCGGGCGTTCTCATCACAACCACGTGCTCAGTGGCTCATCAATTTGTGAATATTTGTTTGTTCAAAATGTGTTGCATACTTCTCAACATGCAACAAACCTGAAATTTGGCATGTGGGTAGCTTGCAGACTATACACCATGCAAAAAGTATAAAAATAAACTTTTATATATTTTTTTTGGAGGGGGGGGGGGCGCAATAATGGATATATTTGCACGGCAAGTGAGCGGTGACGTCACATCTGTGATGTCACCCGCATGCGGCAGCGTTACGCAGTGTGCCTGCTAACGTCACGCATCACCCCCCCCCACCCTCCGCGTAGGCCGTGTATTACTCCAAGACCAGAATCCAAGTCTCGGGCGAAGCCGGGTAGTAAAGCTAGTATAAGATATAGTATTCTGACCCCGTGGGCCAAATTCTATGGGTTAGGAAAAAACACAATATCTCGCCCTGGCACGTGGGGCCCTTCGGCATGTGTGGCCCTCCAGCACGTGAGGCAACCAGGGGTTATGTACGTACTCTACATTGAACTTCTTTCACGCCATGCGCAGCCGACCCCGCTAATCGGATTGTGCGGGGGAAGCTCAACAAACTGCCTGCGCGCTCGTTTCCCTCGATAGCCAGCGGCGGTGTGGGTGTGGGCACCTACTCTGCACTGTTTTGCAGGCGATGCGGCACTCCGTTTCTGTCTTGAAGTTGTTGGCGTTGCCGTGGCAGCCGCCAAAGTTGAACTTCTGGCAGCGCTGCGTGTAGCGGTTGTAGAAGTAGCGCGGGATGATGGCCTCGCAGGGCCCAATCTCTCTGTCCATCGTGCAGATGGCGCGTATGGAAAGCTCATCATCGCTCTCGTCGCCTGCAGGGAGAACGGGGAGGACCCAATAACAAAAAAACTATTTTGTTTGCGCATGTTTACGTTGAACTTCTTTCGAACCATGTGTAGTATGGTTCCCGGGAGACTTGACACGTAGTTGGAGGCACACGCTTATTTATTAACACCAGCACGTAACTCGGAAGCTTACAGTAACTGAAGGGGTATCGGCCCCTTCACCCGTCTAGCTACGGAACACAACAGCCTAGCTCACAGCTAGCTTACACCTAGGTTACGGCACCATGAATACCCAGACCCGCTCTTAGAAGAGCGTCGGTTCTGGGCTCTGGGGGCCACGCCGCTGGCTTGCCTGGTCGGTCCTTAAAAGGACAGCGATCCCAGGGAGTTCCAGGGCCGGTCTAGCTGGTCTTCTTTCTTCACTGGTTACAGCTTAACACTAGACCCAGAACCCTTCGGCTCACCGCCTTAAATAGCCATCTCCCCCCTGAGGGGAGGGGCTGTGGGGGATCGAAGCGTACGGCGAGGACGTCGCTGCGAGCACCTGCCCGCGTACCGACGTAGCCACGCCCATTGTGTTTGTTTGCCATCCGCGGCAAGTCTAAATCCGGCCGTCCACAACGGCTCTACACATGCATTGCCAACCGTGATAACACTGGTCAACAAAAAAAAATCTGGCCTGGACTTTTGCAGCTGTTTTAGACTAATTTCAGGGTGCTGATTCCAAATCTGATCTCAGATTTGCTCTATCACATTTCATTTTTATGCTATCGGCATACCCCATTTTCATTGATTTTACCCGAAATTAACTCTTTCACTTATGATTGCAAGTTGTTTCGAGTCAGTGACTGCTTTAGTGTTAAAATATGGTGCTGTATTTTTAGGATAGTGTGTTTATAATTTCATTTTATGTAGATATCCAGATTTATTTAATATTTTTCTTCTGCAGTTTTGATTGAAAATTCAATATTTGATATTTCAAAAACCTGATGTGATGTACAAAAACTGATGCCAGATTTGGAATCAGCACCCCAAAATTACCTTAAAACCGTTGGAATACCTTATGCCAGAAAAAGTGTGTTGACCAGTGTAATCGGAGTTAAGGGCCCACTGAGCTGAATACCTCTTCAGGCGCGACCTGACTGCCACAAATTATAGCGTAACGAAGTGGCGGCTTATAACGTAGAAGTGCATGGCAGCCGAATGCTCTATAAATGCACGTTGATTCTAAACGTGGAGCGGAAAACCTGGAGGACCCGGAGAAAAATCCACACGACCACGGGGAGAGAAACTGCAAATATACAGCAGGCGTCAGGGTCGGAATCGGGTTCGAACTCACGACCTCCTGCATACCAGGTGAGCTAGCTAACATCTCGCCACCGCGGCACCATTCTAACCACTGTGGCACCCCGGGGCTTAACTCCCGTCGTAGAAACGATGGTTTATGCACCGTACATATTTGTCTCACCAATGTCGTGTTCAATCACAATGCCGCAGGTGACAACAACACGCTCACCCGCCCAGCCACTCAGTCACTCATGCAAGTCAAGACGCTGCTTCTCTTTCTGCTTCTTCCCTCGCAGTGCTCGACTGTGGAATTCCCTCCTTCCACCATCGTCTCTGTTGCTGATATATATTTTAATAATGATTGGCCTTGCTCGATTGAACAAACACGTTAAACAAGTTTTTATTACAATTTTGGCAAGTGCTGTTGGTTGCTAGCCGTTTTAATGTTTTGGGTCAATGCTCAGCCTCTGTGTTGAAAAAATGTGTGCGGTATTTATGGTATTCTTAGAGCTATCGTGAAGGCTCATCCATAAAACACATTCCTGCGGAGGGAGCTGGTAGGAACGTTGGGTTGCTCGATCAATGGCCAGGGTCAATGGCGGCGCGGTGTATTCCGCAAATATGCCCGACTGAGGGCGGGCACAAGCCGGCGTGAGTAGGTTAAACGTTGAATTTTATAAGGGCACCACGGGGTGAGCAGCCCCTCCCCACCCAGCCCCACCCCTCCCACCCCCCACCCAGCCCCCCCCACCAAGCCCCTCCCCACCCTCCCCTCCCCACCCAGCCCCTCCCCACCCTCCCCACCCAGCCCCACCCTCCCCACCCAGCCCCTCCCCACCCTCCCCTCCCCACCCCCTCCCCACCCTCCCCTCCCCACCCAGCCCCTCCCTGCACGACGGACACAATAATGCCCTGTGGGCTGGTGTAACCAGGAGGTTCCTACCAGTATTACTTCATTGGTCAAGTTCATTGTGGAATGACGCACAAACATGTTTCAACTAATTCGGTAGCAGTGTAAGAACATATTTTCTCTCCATGTGTGTCTTTGAGTTCAACGTACGATATTTTTACTTTTAAGATCATACCCCAGTGAGAGTCGCCGCATTCTCTGGATTATTGCATGTTTGTTTGTGCGACCCTATTTAAATTACATTATTGACACAGAGCACAAGTTTGGGGTGCATCTTACTCTCTGGTGCATATTATAGTAATTTGAAGGATACAATATGTACGTGCATTCTTTTTGCTAGCCTTAACAAACATTTGGCAAATTGCAACCGTGCATTTTTAATCGAAACAAGAGGTAAAACAAATTTTGTATCAACTTCTCATCTGACAAATGTAATTTATTGTTTTCTCCCCAGACTCAGAGCTTGCGCGCCACGCTTTCAGGGGTTATAATGTTTACCGCTGGATATATTTATGTACACCGACATAATAAATATCGCTGTGCCCTATTTAAAAGCGTGTAATTTATTACTGCTGCTTCATACAAAAAAAAACTCCCGATAGCTTTCATGTAATATCTTTACAAAAAGAATAAAAACACCATCACAATATAAATGGTGTAACATTGTTATATTCATTAATAAATTAGCTCAGTTATTTGTTTGCATGTAACTATCGCAATATGCGACTGCGCGTTGCTTAATGTCCCAAAACGCAAATGGCTAATGATGAAGCAAACTCATGCTTAATTGATTTCACCCTGTCATGCATGTATTATTATTATTAGAGTAAAAAAACCCTCGCCGTTATTATTGTTGTAGTAATGTGATTTTTCGTCAAAGGAACACAGTTAGCGAGTTTATTTCGGTTGACGCGTATTTGTGAGCCAAGAGGTTTCAATGACGAAATCCCCGAATAGCGTCTCAAGGGCTTGCGAACAAAGTTCGTTCGTGTTCATCACGATGGACAGTCAGCTTCCCAGTTTAACACGGAGGCTTTCGCGACCAATATCGTCCATGATAGAGTTTATTTGGGTGAGATCGCTTAAATATATGTGTCGTTAAACCCCGCCACCACCACCCGACAAACCAACTAGTAAGGGTTTATATTCTTGGTTTTTTTCCGGTAAAGTCACGTAGGTAAAACATTTAAACTAAAATTAATAAAAGTAAAATAAAAATCACGACGTTTCGGAGGCAACACAAGCTTCCGTCTTCAGGTGGAACCGTCACAGCACGATAGCTGTATCAAGTAAGGGTTGTCACGTAATCAGAACGTGGCCAATTCGTCACCCATTTATCGGCACACATTTATCTATTTATGAGATCCAACCCCCCACCCCAAAAAAAAAAAACCTCTATCACGTGTGAGCTTTCCCACCAGCCGGTGCCAAATCTCACCGCCACAGAGCGTACCTGCCCGGAGTAACCCGGCCGTCCACCGACGTCCCATAGAGAGGAGGGTGGCAGCGTGCGCCGGAGAGAGGAGGGGGGGGGGGGCTCCGACGCACGGCTCACCGTGGCCGAAACGCCAAGAGGTCCCAGCGGCACGCCTCGCGAGACGTGGCGGGCAAGGGTTCATTCCAAACACGAGCGCGCCACTTATAGCGTTCATGCGCAGCCTTGCCCGCATTCACCATTGCCTTAACCGCAGGTCTTGATATTGGGGAATTCGCAGGGTTAAAGAAGTAATAACTGACGGTCCCTTTATCAATCCACTGTGGGACGAAGGTCTCCCCAATACACGTGTGTCGTGCGGATTCGTTCGACTATGCTGCACCACGGTGTGGTGAGAGTAGCTACCCGTCGGAGGCCGTTGACTGCGAGAAGGGCTGGGTGTAGATGCGGCACTTGTCGTAGTAAAAATAAAATATATTTATAATACTAATATTACAAATATTACAGAGAATACATAGGGGGAACATAGACATGGAGTAGGGAGAGAGGGGGTATAGAGAGAGGGGGTATAGAGAGAGGGGGTATAGAGAGAGGGGGTATAGAGAGAGGGGGGTATAGAGAGAGGGGGGTATAGAGAGAGGGGGGTATAGAGAGAGGGGGTAGAGAGAGAGGGGGTAGAGAGAGAGGGGGTAGAGAGAGAGGGGGGTAGAGAAAGGGGGTAGAGAGAGAGGGGGGTAGAGAGAGGGGGTAGAGAGAGAGGAGGGTAGAGAAAGGGGGGTAGAGAGAGAGGAGGGTAGAGAAAGGGGGTAGAGAGAGAGGGGGGTAGAGAGAGGGGGGTATAGAGAGAGGGGGGTATAGAGAGAGGGGAGTAGAGAGAGAGGGGGGTAGAGAGAGAGGGGGGTAGAGAGAGGGGGGTAGAAAGAGGGGGTAGAGAGAGAGGGGGTAGAGAGAGAGGAGGGTAGAGAAAGGGGTAGAGAGAGAGGAGGGTAGAGAGAGTGGGTAGACAGAGAGGGGGGGGGGTAGAGAGAGGGGGAAGGGGTAAGGAGAGCAGAGCGTGATTTCTTTCGTGAAATTTCTCATTTAAAAAAGGGGGGGGGGGGTTACATAAAGCAAAGCATTAAAAAAACAAAAAAAACGAAATGATGAACGAAGCAAAGTGCCGACTACACCGAGCATCTTCTTGTTTCCTCTGATCGTAAAAAAGAAAAAAAGAGAGCAGCGGGCTTGGTGAAGCTATGGAGGGGGGGGGGGGGCAGGAGAGGTTCACACATCATTCGCTACCGCCTGTCTTTGCCTTGTGAGGCAGTCGATCTCAGGTCACTCGGTTCGTAGTGCAGTGCACCAGCCGCTGCATGAACGCTCCCTCCACTGACTTTATACCCTTGACAAAACCAAGGACACTTCAACAATGTCGACGTAACCTTCCACGTCTGCATGCTCGTATCTCATAAATAGTTGTCGTTGTTTTATAATGTACTTGTACTGGCCCGGAGGAGTGGAGGTTTTTTGTTCATTTATTCTTCACGAATGTTTCCGCATTTTTCACGAACAAACGTGTGCGCGGGCGAACGAAAACAATGTTATTGTCATCATCATAATAATGATAGAGCAACTTTTTCAATAAGACAAACATTTGATAAGGAGTGTCATTTATCCTTCGCTCATGTTTTACATTTTTCACGAACAAACGTGTGCGTGGACAAACTAAAGCAATGTATTGCCATCATCATCATAATAATGATAGAGCAACTTTTTCAATAAAACAAACATTTGATAAGGAGTGGCATTTATCCTTCGCTCATGTTTTACATTTTTCACGAACAAACGTGTGCGTGGACAAACTAAAGCAATGTATTGCCATCATCATCATAATAATGATAGAGCAACTTTTGCAATAAAACAAACATTTGATAAGGAGTGTCATTTATCCTTCGCTCATGTTTTACATTTTTCACGAACAAACGTGTGCGTGGACAAACGAAAGCAATATATTGCCATCATCATCATCATAATAATGATAGAGCAACTTTTGCCATAAAACAAACATTTGATAAGGAGTGGCATTTATCCTTCGCTCATGTTTTGCATTTTTCACGAACAAACGTGTGCGTGGACAAACGAAAGCAATATATTGCCATCATCATCATCATAATAATGATAGAGCAACTTTTGCAATAAGACAAACATTTGATAAGGAGTGTCATTTATCCTTCGGTCATGTTTTACATTTTTCACGAACAAACGTGTGCGTGGACAAACTAAAGCAATGTATTGCCATCATCATCATAATGATAGAGCAACTTTTGCAATAAGACAAACATTTGATAAGGAGTGGCATTTATCCTTCGCTAATGTTTTACATTTTTCACATACAAACGTGTGCGTGGACAAACGAAAGCAATATATTGCCATCATCATCATAATAATGATAGAGCAACTTTTTCCATAAAACAAACATTTGATAAGGAGTGGCATTTATCCTTCGCTCATGTTTTACATTTTTCACATACAAACGTGTTTTACCGTCACCATCATAATAACGATAGAGCGACATTTCGCAAAGAAAAACTAAAATTTGATAAGGGGTGTGTCACACTTGTTCCACAACACTCCACAACACCGACATGCCCTTGGAAAGGTCGAGGGGTGCAAGATAAACTCTTAAGCGCAGCGTGACATTTTAAATAACCTTGTTTTTTCTGCTCAGATTATAGTGACATTGTTTTTCACTGCCGTTTTCCCTCTTAAATCTACACCGTCCGTTTAACAGGTCGCTTTAGCACACTCTCCACCGTGTACAGCAAACAAATTCAGTTGGACGGTTAACTCAAATGGTTTATAACTACGCCATTAAATATTCTTATTTTTAAAACATCACGTAATGTGATTTAAAGCTTTCGTGACTGCAGGGATTCATATTCTTGGTTCTTTCGGTAAAGTCACGTAGAAGGGAAATAAGAATATTTCGTAACGTGTTGTCACGAACTCGGCGCTTTTTATAAGGTCGGTGAATCCGATCACCCTCATGTTTTTTTGGCGAAGCTAAAATGTCAAATAAATAACTAGGTGGAGTGTGAAACATGGCGAAGGGGCAATTAAACATTCACGTAAGATAACCACCAGGCAGCTTTTTGTGGTTGTGCTGGCAAAGGTCTCACACGTGTTACAGGTTGGGCCCCGTGCTGTTCAGTGTGATGTCCGACGTTTTTGCTCCATATGCTGGGAGCTTCTTCAGCAACTGATTGGGCATAGTTACATGTTCTCCCTCGATTATATTAAGGTGCATCACCCTGGCATGCTAAATAAATAAATAATACATCTTTCCCAAATTTGCCCCTCCACAAAAAAGTTAATTTTGTATTTTTCCTCCATCTCATTGGCTGCACGGCCTTCTTAACAGCAGCACTGTTCGATACAAGCAAACTCTGGACCAGTTTTGATATTCAGCGTCTCACCTGCAGAGTCATGCTTGCCAGAACCAATGCTGGTGAAACTTGCATAGGCAAGGGACCCCTACAAGAGAGCCCTCTCCGGTATCACAACATATGCACAAGCGACCAGCTCGTCTGCCACACGTGTGACGAAGCTAACGGTAAACTTCGGCCGGTCGACACCAAACATCATCAGCAGCAACAGCAGCAAAACGGCGACTACGAAGCTGAGAGAAAGCGCGCGCGCGAGCGACTCCGTGAGTTCTTGTAGAAGAAGCTCGCGGGACGCGGATTGAAACTTCGGTGCCCGAATAGCCACGCGGTGCAATCCGGAGATAAAAAAAACACACGGGAGAAATACGCCATTTTTTAATTCACAATGCAGAACTCTAAACCATTGCAAACATTCTCTCTCTTCTCTCCCTCCCGAGAAGCCCCGGTCACGATGTATTTTAGAATGCAAGATGAATTACGCCCACGCACAAAAAAAATACACAATTCACCGGGTCCCCGATTGCACGTGAGGTTTTTGAACAATTAAGAATGAGACCGGCGGATATTAAAATTGCATTACCAGTAATATAACACACCAGCACATGACCTCATCCCGATAAGTTGTGTGTATTTTTAAATCACCACGAGCACAATCGTAAAAATCAGTGCGTAACTATATTCTTTGGTTGTTTCGGTAAAGTCACGTAGGTATAAGGTATAAAATAGAACAAAATAAATGCAATCACGATGTTTCAGCAATTGTTTCTTACTGTGCTTGTCCCACCTGATGGCGGACGCTTGTGTTGCGCCAAAAACGTCGTGATTTAATTTATTTTATATTTTATACCTACGTGTCTTTACCGAAAGAACCAAAGAGTATGGATCCCTGCAGTCACGAAAACTTCAAATCCAGATTCCTTAGAGCCTAGTCTCACATGGGTTGGACCAGAGGAAAACGGTCTCGGGTGTGGACCAATCAACTTCAAGGACAGCTATATTTGATCATAGTTATGTTTTTGTTTGCATTATGGCTGCAGGTATTGTGGTCTATGCAAACATGACTTCTTGTAAAAAAACTGTCAGTTTTGTTGCCAGATAGAAGGGTAAAACAACAATTAGCAGTTATAATTGTCTTAAAACTGCATATATTCCCTAATTCACGTGTTACTATTTCTGTCTCTCGATATAATTCTAAATGTGTATCTCCATGCATCCATACGTAGATTTAAGTTTTTGTAAATGTTTTGTTTGTTACTGATCATGTTACAAAACCACATTTGTGATTCATGTCATCATAATAGCATTGCAAAGTATATGGAGTTATTGGAAAGTGTTTTAATCATTAATATTGGTATATTGCATTCCACGACCTAATTGAGTTTAAATTTCGATTTCTCGACAGACCTGTTTCTTCACCTGAGGACGGCTGCTTGCGTTGTGGCCGAAACGTCGTGAGAATTATTTTATTATGTTAAATTTTTATTATTGTATTACTTCCCTTCTACGTGACTTTACCGAAAGAACCAAGAGTATGTGGCCGCTATAAATTTCCACGTGATAAGCTACTTCATTTAACTATCAGACAATTATAACTGTTAAGAAAAATAGCTGTATAACTCAGTGGGCCTTACCTGGTAGAAAAAAATGATTTTTTTTTTCAATATAGGTTTTAGTGTCTACTGTCAGGGCACATATTGGAGGTTATGTGTCGACTGTGCATCTACTGTGGGATCAGGCGGCGGGTGGAAGATTTAGTTGTAGTTTTTTTTGGAATAGGCGACTTTGGAATTAAACTAAACGACAAATTTGAGGAGGGGTCCGTAATGCAAACGCGCTCACCTGCACAACCACCGCTCCCCGACACGCACGCACAGAGAGACACTTACGGGACGGACACGCGTCCACAAAGAACATGGCACAAAAAGTTGGTCGAACCAACTCTAGAGTTGTGCCGCGTGGTTCTTCTTCTTCTTGTTGTTGTTCGCCACGATTGTCCGACGTTTCGCCGCACGAGCTGGGAGTTTCTTTCCATAAACGTCTCCCTATACCGGCCACCTCGCCCCGAACCATTCTTCGGGAGCCGTCTTCATTGATTCGAGCGCTGCAAAAGCTCCCCCGGCAACGTGGAGCGAAACGTCGGAACATCAAAACCGAACAGGCGGGTGTACACACACGCCCAAAACCACACGGGGTTGACAAACAGTCGCCAATAACCGCGCTACAGCAGCAGTACGTTAAAAACTTCACACCACCCCCCCTTTTGACTCTCTCACTCACCCGTGACTTCTTGGGAGTTGCAGGTGATGGCCGTGTACGCCAGGAGGTAGAAGAACAACGTGGCAGAAGTCATCGTTAACATCGTCGTCTCCTCGATGCCGTCGTCTCACTCACGAGATGTGTTAATGAGCTGAACGAGGATTTCTGTCCGTCGGCTCTGGCTGGATACGTCGGTCGGGTTTCCGCCTGTTCCCCCTTTTTATTCTTTTTCTGCTGCCGCTGCTCTGTATAAAATTTCACCGCCCACACCCCCGTCCCCCCCCCCAAAGTACACACACGCGCAACCCACCCAAAACCCACCGCAACACACACACAGACACACACAGAAAACCCCGAGGAAATTATGCTTAGTGTGTAAAAACACACGCAGCTTGTGGGCGTAAACGTCCAACTTTAATGCGCTTAAAGAGTAAGCCAAGAAGATAATGAGTGTATGTGTGTGTCATCACGCTTTATGTATTGTTAAGCACATTCTTTAAAGATAACTAACCCCCCCCCCGTCCTCCACCCCACCCACACATCGGAACAACAGCCTCAGTAAGTCTCAAGCCTCATGGGATCTGAGCTCCTGTCAACAACCTGATGATGCTACTCGCGTAGCCCCGCTCTCTGCCCCGATCATGAGTGTAGCACGGGGCCAGTTTAAAAACAAATTACCGGAGACAAAATCCTCCTAATTTTCACAACAGCTTCTGGTTGCCACCAGGTCTGTCCAGGGCAAACCGGGACGTTGGTAACCGAACTGTTATTCTATACTCGTATTTACATACGAGCTTAATTTCATCCCGCGGGCTCTATTGATGTGGTCAAATAAATTAACCAATTATTTAACTAATAACAAAAATTTATCTCATGAACAAGGCTATTGCTCAATTGAAAATTGGGTTTGGTTTTCTTCGTGGAAGACACATTATGTTACGCACTGAATATCATGGCCTGGATTTAGCGGGGGAGGGGGGGGGAAGGGACATTTATCCACGGTCCAAGATTCATATCGGCCCATGAAAAAAGATAATACGTCAGTTTTCTCTATTGGCAAATATGTGACTGTTTTGTCATTATTTTAATATGAAGCATACATAAATAAAACGATTAATTAATTGATTTCTGGTTTTATTTTTTTCGGTTTTAATTTCATCCTTCAATTTTCTCCGTGTGACACTGAGGGTTGGGAATTTTATCAGTGTCTCTATGTGTATGGGGAGGGTGTCTTTTTTCTGCCCTAGTGTCAGGGACATAGATACCAAAAATGTGGCCTCGGTGAACGAGTTATAGGTCGAGCATGGTGAGGGCATCTTGCACGCAAAGAATGAACCACATCAATGAACCGGATACGCACGTACCACGATGCACATAACAACAAACGGGTCTCCCGTCTCATCCTAAGCTGCACGAACAGGAGCCGATAGCACACTTGCGTTAGGCTGCCGATGTTTAAATCTTCATTCAGTTTCAATTATTAGGTATAGCCCTGTGAGCCGTGCCGCAGCAAACAAAAACATGAACAAGGAGCATCTTAAAATGACTACGCGCAACAGGAAAATTCAGGAAAAAACAGCAAAGTCTTCCAGAATACCACATACCGACGTTCAAAGCTAATCGTACCACTTGTATAGCAAAATATTAAACAAATATTAGACCAATTTTGCTTTCAAAATCAGCGTGCAGTGAAATGGTTTGAAAATTAGCAGCCTACTCGCTTTAATCGGTACGGTTGGAAATTACGATATACATCTGGGTGCAAAGTGGGCGCCTGTGATCCAGAGCTTAGAACGAGGGTTGGTGGGTCACACAGAGACTTGTGAAGCTTCCAAAACCACTGGGCCGCGAAGTGGCCAGAAGACAAAAGTGGCCGAAGTGAAATTTGGTTTAAGCACCTCCGCACCTTATTCTGCATTTTTTTTCTCGAACCTCGGCCACTCATGAAATGTACAAACACTAGAAGAGACGACGTTCCACAGCACGTGAGGTTGCGAGATTCGTCACGTGTAATAATCATCGTATCCACGCACGGAGCATGTGACCTCATGGCCATTCGAAGAAAAGAGGATTACTTTTTTTACGCATTTAATTTAGGTCAAGTAACGTTAGAAGGGGAAGTGAGTTAGGTAAGGGAGGCAAAATAATTGAGGTGTCAGAGGCAAGGGAGTGAAGTATGGGGAACAAGGGAGTGAGGTGTGGGAGTGAGGTGAGTGAGGTGTGGGAGGCTCAGGCAGTCGGGGATCAGGGCTCTGAAATTACAGCCCTCAGATCCGCATGTGGCCCCTGGAATGTTTTATGTGGCCACAAGGGAGGCTCGGTGTTACCCCAGGTCTCAGTGGGACTCTGAGCGCAGATGGGGAGACACAGAACGTTACAATGTAACTTCAAATTCATCCGAATGACCGAAGTATAGGAATTCAATATTGGCACAAAGTGTTAGCACGCTGCCCACCCTGAACCCGGTGGAATGCACAAACTGCACTCTTCCAGAACTTTTTTGCTTGGTAAACTCATATTTATCTGCACGTGTTTTCAATTCTAATTCTCTTTAAAAAAATGTAACCTTCGTGGAATCTGCGAACGATCAACTGAAGTTTTCGGCAAACATTCCGAATATGCATAACAATAATTCGGCCTCGTTGTTTTTTGTTTCCGTTAAAAAGTAAAACAAGCAACAACGCTGAACCCAAGTTACAACAGAACCATACTTCACCCGAGTCTGATCGCTTCTTGCCTCCCTAGCAACAAAGCTGCTGCAAAGTATATGTTGAGCAAAGGTTCAACTTACATTGATTATAATGGCCCAGTAAATAAATAAAAAAAATTATCCTTTACCTTCCATGAATGCAGTCGGTCACAGGGTTCACATTTTCACTCCCAACACGGCGTTCTGGGGTATTCCGGCCCGTTTCCACCGCTGCTGAGAACACCACAGTATATATAGAGGACTGCAGAGCTTGGGCAATTGTTGGTAGCTCCGGCTAACCATGCGGCTGTCCCTGTCACCTTCCCGCTCGTCTGTGGTTCCTCCTCACGCCTTTGAGTCGTTATCTCTCTTAGTCGAGAGTGAATCCTGCGGTGTGGTCGCGCGTTACAAATTAATTTCTTATTATTATTATTCTTTAAAATGAGATGCCAATTCGGTGTCAACCTAACCCTTGTTCTCAGGCTGTTTAGCAACGTGTAGATGAATTTTAATGCGTTGATTATATCGTACTCGTTGTGTGAACGCTAATCGCATTGTGGTCTGGGCAATGTGTTGGTTACATTTACTTCATTGCTGTCATGTGTTTGACTTTTTAGCTTTTTTCATTTTTGTCACCCAAATCAGACGTATCCTTGTCTCCTGAGTTATCGCCTCGTTGAACTCAAATTCAACTTGACTCAATGATTAGCAGCATCAGCAGAATTAGTAACAGCAGCAGGTGTAACAGCATCAGCAACTCCATGATTATCATCGTCATTATCGTCATCAGCAGTATTATCAGCAGCATCAATACGAAAGTCGGCAGCAGAAGCATAATCATCAGCAGCAACATCACCAATCTTGAGTTCTCACCAGGTTAAACAAATCGATTCTAACACGTAGGCTTTCGCGGCAATTATTATCAGTCTACAAGGTTTTTTGGATTAGATCCCATAAATAAAAAAAATACTTTATTTTGTTCTGGGTTACCTATGAGCTTTAATACCATTCTATTATGGGTCAAGTGTCAATGTGTTTCTGGGAGAATAAAAATTTACATCTGAAACTAAATTTTCAAGATCGTGATCCGGGCTGTTAATGTGTTTTTCTCAAAAACGAGCCTGGACTACCTTATGGAAACATGTGTAGCGCCATAACAAGGCGCTATAAGCAGCTTACCTGCCACCACGCTCACGGCCTACAGGGGGCAGCCGAGAGAGAGTGAGGTGTGTAGGGGTTGACCTAAGGTCAAACCTCCTCCCCCCTGGGGGACCCGTGACCGGAGGTTGACACCCTAGACCCCCCCAGGGGCTGGAGGCTGAGGGGGATGGGCTCCCCCCACCCCTTCCTAAGACTCCTTAAGATATAAGACCCTCTAAGACCTTTCAGAAGGTTATGGAGGGGGGGTCATGAGGGGAGGGGTAAGCCCGACCTGGGGATAAAAAGCCCACCCTCTGAACGGGTCCAGCAGTGTTCGCCAACTCAAGCTTGAAAAAATCTGAAGACCTGAAGACTGGACCAGCACCCGGGAACCCTCAACCGAGGCTCTCGTTAGAGCCGGGTTGTAGCGGACCCCAGGTAGCTCGGACACCCTGGGACCCTCCCCGAGGCTCTGGTCAGAGCCGGGGTGTAGCGGACCAGGGGTAAGCCCCGTACCCTGCCTGGGACGGGTCGGTCCAGTCTTCCTTTAGACGCCGTGGCAAGGGACCGGTGTGTAGAGTAGCCCGGAGTGTGTGGGACGCGCTAGAAGAGTTGTTATAATAAACGCGTTGCCTCCAGCAGACGTCTCCGTGTGGTTAGTTATAGACACAGCACATGTATTTTTGGATGGTTACTGTTTATTTGTACAGCTATTATATTAGCTGCGCCTAAACCTAGCAGAGTTTGTAAATCTACAGCAATGTCTACACAGGTTAGTGTGGTAGCCTTGGGCCACATTCCATGGCGTGCCTCGTGATATTTATAGCTGGACTCTCAGTTTGCTTCTTTGTTCCTTGGCACCGTGAGTAATGATGATGATGAATGGATCATTGCTGATGGACTGAGGATGATGATGATGATGGCGACAACAATGACTACTCTTGATTTGAAACTTATGTGACTGCAGGATATACTCTTTGGTTCTTTCGGTAAAGTCACGTAGAAAGAAAATAAATTAAATAATAGAATACGACGTTTCGATTGCAACACAAGCAACCATTATCAGGTAGAACTAAATTTGAAAGATACAGAACTTAGACACGGAGACACACAGACAGACACACAAGCAGAGAGACAACACAGACACACAACATAGACATAGAGACCGAATGCCTCTGTGTCGAGGCCTTAAATAGAGAGAAAGGGGGGAGTTGGGCAGAGAGATAGGTGGGTCTGTTGTCTGTCTCTGTGTTGTCTGTCTCTGCTTGTATGTCTGTGCCTCTCCGTGTCTGTGTTTTGTCTCTCAAATTTAGTTCTACCTGATGATGGTTGCTTCTGTTGCAATCGAAACGTCGTAATTTATTATTTTATTTCTACGTGACTTTACCGAAAGATCCAGAGTAACTACTCTTGTTGGATGATAATCAACACCACCATCCTCCACCACCACTCGTCCATCATCACACCCAACACCATCCTTCACCACCTACAAATCATTGTTTTAATGCGGTGGGCTCACACGAAATTGATTTCTCTAAGACGAAGGTACTTTGCAAGCCCACTGGCTTTCAACAAAGATTAGTTCATGAAGTCATCCATATATATAGACACAGACACAATTTCAACCGAGAAGATGGGTACAAACTGAGCAATCATTGGAAGGACGCTATTAACCTGGTTAAGTCATAACTGGCTGTGATGTTTCCATCCTATCTTCCGATGTTAGTAGTTATTTTCTATTCTCTGGTTTTACATTAACTGGTTCAATGTCTCGCACTAAAACAGCCACCGTGGCTCGTTTCTTCGATGTGGCGGTTGCTTTGTGATCTTACATTGACATGCTAATCTCTCACAATACAATGACCACCAACGCGCCTTCGTCATCGTGGAGGTAGCTCACATTGACATGCAAATTTCTCACTTTAACATCACTAGCCCCGCCCACTTCGTTTATGCCCCTTGGGCTACACCTATTGAAAACCTTTTAAACAGCCTTCCTCAGCAGCTCTCCCCACTCTTTTTTCTCCTGATGACGATTGCTTGCGTTGCGATCGAAACGTCGTATTTTTTTGTTATTTCTTTGAACCTATCTATGTAACTTTACCACAAGACCAAAAAATATGAATTCCTGCAGTCACGAAAGCTTTAAGTCAAGATTTGGTCGCGAAAGCCAACCTGTAATTTTAAACGTTTAATAATAATTTACAAGGCGCGGTTTACTGTGGGAAAACACAGCCTCACCCTAACCGGTGTAACCAGTCTGTGAGACAAACCATTACTGTTTTCATGGTTACCATGTGGTTTTTGTATAAATATATCGATTGCGACTTTTACACCCTGACATTGTGTGTGAATGTAACACCACATCTCCATAGTTGAGTACGGGCTGCCGCGTGGAACATTGCAGGGCGCGTGTCGTGGTGTTTATAATTTAATTGCAGGTTAAGTCAGTTCGTTTCTTTGTTCGTGGTCGCTGCTCTGTGAGTTGTTTTACATCACGCCTCGATGGTGAGATGTCCACCACCTCGCCTGGTAACACAGGAGATCGTGGGTTCAATCCTGACCGTGATGCCTGCATATTTGGAGTTTGCATGTCTCTCTCTGTGTTCGTGTGGATTTTTCTCTCGTATTTACCTCATATTTAGAATCGACATTACGTGTTGAGAGCGTTTGTCTGCTATAAATATTTATGTAAAAAGCCACTTTTTTTGATTTAATTCGTGGCCAGGTCGCTTCTGAAAAAAGAGCTATATAGCGAAGTGGGCTTTACCTGGTAATATTAAAATATATCACGTAGGCTTACGCGACCAATATTATTAATAATAAAACATTTTGGTTAGATCGCGTTATTTATAAATGTGTCATAACTTTCCACCACCCGACACGGCCAAACAGGAAAAAATATGCCACGTTTACAAAAGACAAATAGTTCACTACTTTAGCCCACCTGTGTGTTGAAAAGTGAATCAGCATCGTTTACATTTTTGAGTACGACGTTTCGCTGGTAATTACATCCATCATCATCGGCCAATTTGCCAGAATAGCGAAGCCCTCCACCTCCTCCCAGTCTTAAATAGAGCAGCAGGGTGACGTCATCATTTAACCCAATCTGGTGCAGTGATTTGAGGCAGAGAGGGGGAGGGTATTGTAATTATATAATATATTGGTAATCATTCAATTGTTATTCATTAGTATTTGTTTCCCATATAAGGAATTGTAATTGTAATATATATTTTATTTAATAATAATAATAATACTAACTAGCACTGTTTTAACCAGTGACATGATTTCCATCCTTTCTAAAGGCCTTAACTTTGCCGTTACCCCACGCACAATTCCAGTGGATGAGATCATTGCTGAGGTAGAATCAGCGGTAAAACTCCTTCCACATAATCAGGCAGAGATGACTAGACACGAGGTTACCAAAATAATTGAGAATAGCAAGTACCAAAAGTAAATATTAGCTCGAACGAAGCAAAAGCCTTAAGGGAGCTTCGATTAAATAAAGATATTCAAATCCTGGCAGCTGATAAAGGCCGCACTACTGTAGTGATGTCACAAGCCGAATATCATAATAAAATTAAAGATTTACTAGACGAAAGTACTTACATTAAAATGAAACGAGATCCAACTAATACTGTAGAACGTAAGACTGCTACAATAATTGCAAATTCATTCAACCCTAAGAATGAACCACCTAGACTGTATGGGTTACCAAAGATTCGTAAAATCGGCATCCCATTACGACTCATAGTCAGTACAATTGGCTCTGCCACATATAAATTAGCAAAATATATAACTAAACAAATACAGCCCTACATCGGTAGGACATCTTCATTCATAAAGAAATCAGAACATCTTGTGAATGTGATTAAATATATCAAACTTAACCCTAATGATATTTTGGTGAGTTTTTATGTGGTTTCTCTATTCACAAAGGTTCCAGTGAACGAGTCGCTTAAATTACTTGATACACTAGGAAAGAATACAGGTTTACCAAAAGATATCCCGAAACTATCTGACCATTGCTTAAATAACACTTACTTCTTATGGAGAGGTGATTTCTTTACAAAAGGAAGGAGCCGCAATGGGCTCTCCTTTATCTCCTACTATAGCAAATCTGTACATGGAAAACTTTGAAGCAAGAGCACTTGCCTCGAGTACATTAAAACCATATTTTTGGTTTAGATATGTTGATGACACTTTGGTTGTCTTGCCACATGGTAAATATACACTTAATGATTTTCTAAATCATCTCAATGCAAAACACCCGGCCATCCAGTTCACCATAGAAATGGAGGTGAATAACACACTCCCGTTCCTAGATATTTTTGCTTGGACATGGTCTAAATTGCAAAATAACACACAGCGTTTACCGAAAGCGAACGCACACTGATGCCCAGCTCAGAAATCCTCCCTTATCAAGACACTCATACATCGGGCTAAAACAGTGTCAGATGGTGAAAGTCTAGTGAGAGAGATTAAACATGTTAAAGAAGCACTAAGGCAGAATGGCTACAATAATGCTCAATTAACAGAGCACTAAATGCTAAATCACGAACGCAAAGCAACACTGCTGAAAGCGATCAAAGTGTTACAAATTTTAAATGCCATCCTTCTCAGGAGTAACTGACAAATTAGCCCGTGTTTTACAAAAGCAAAACATTAAAGTAAGATTTGGTACAGTACACAAAATAAAAAAAAACTAGGATCTTGCACTATAGACGAATTGCCTAAATTACTAACAGAAGGTATATATCGGATTAATTGTTTATGTGACAGATGCTATATTGGTCAGCCTAGACGTAAGATCAGCGTAAGACTAAAAGAACACCAAATAAATATTCAATTATTTCAAACACAACTGTTGGCAGTGGCAGAACATGATTGTCAACTCAATTGATTTTGACAACGTTGAAGTGTTGTGTAAAACTAACATAATGATGCATGAAAACAAAAGTTTAAATATTAGTTGATAAAGATTGAAAACAATTAAAAACGCTGTTGCTTAAAACATACTTTGAAATAAAAACAGATAAAGAAACACATGAGAAAAACAAGTTAACCTTTTAATCAGAATGTTTCTACAAGGTGCCGTTCCGCTCTGGAAATGCGCACAGCCTCACCCTACTCTGTGTGACAAACCATCATTGCTGTCTCCCTCGCTGCTGCTGGGTTTGTATAAATGTGATACAACTTGAGAACTGGTAAAACTTAACACAGTGCGTGACTATATCGCTACACCCACACAGGTGAGTACGGCCGTCTTGTGGAACATTCCAGGGCGTGTCTCGTGGCGTTTATACCTCAACTGCAGGCAAAGTCAGTTCATTGTCTTGTTCGGCATTGCTGTATGAGCTGCTCACACAGCGTCTCCAAACCAGTGAGCGCCTGACTCCGAGGTTAAGCCCGAGATCATGGCGAGCGCGTCTCCCGGTGATGGTGTAGATAGTGAGTTGACCTGCTCTATCTGCCTGGGCACGTTTGATCGCCCCTCTACGCTGAGCTGCGGACACTCGTTCTGCCTCCAGTGCCTGGAAGCCACCTGGAAGCTGGCCGTCTCCTACTCCTGCCCGCAGTGTCGAGTGACCTTTCCTCAACGACCCCAGCTGACTAGGAACGTGACGCTCGCCAACCTCATAGATCAGCTGCGAGTGACCGAGACCATGGCTGCTGCTGCTGTTATTTTCTGTGACCACTGCCCAGAAGGCAAGACTCCTGCAGTGAAGACCTGCCTCAAGTGTGAGACGTCTTTCTGCACGGAGCACCTCGCGCCTCACCTCGAAAGGGAGAAGTTTAAGGAGCACGTCCTCGTTCCGCCAGATGTGAACCCCGAACGCAAGTGCAAGAGGCACAACAAAGAGCTCGGGTTCTACTGCAAGCAGGACGCGAGTTTGGTTTGCAGGGACTGCACCATCGCCGAACACAAAGTGCACAATGTCAGCACGCTGGAGCAAGAGCACGAGACGCAGAAGGTGAGGCCTTCTGCGAAGTCACTCAAAGGAAAACCACGCAGCGACACGAGCTAATAAAAATCTTGAACTGGGCTCACAACAATGTCTTGGAATTAATGGGCGTGGATTGGTTTCTTTCTCCACCGTTGCTTCCCTTTCAGACTTTTCAGTCGGCACAGGTGATATCGCTGGCCTCGTTTGTGATCGGCAGTTTTTGTTGTACGGTCGGGTGTTTGTGCGTGCCTGTAATCCAGCACTGTAGAGGGGCGGTGAGTGTTGGTGGTGGATTGCAAAAATGTCGTGAAACTCCCTTCCCCGGGGGTGGGGGAGTCACGGTGCCATAACCCTGGTTCGCGTGTGGATTAATCTCAATCTGTTTCCATCTGTATGGGAATTGATTGTCCCCACTGTATCCCCCCTAACCCTAAACATTCTTCGTTTATTGTTTTTTTACCTTTACTTTCCTTTCCCAGATAAAAAAATATAATCATTCATTAATGGCGTTTCCCAAACATCCCAATCCTCGAGGCCACAAAGGCTGGGAAAATGTTGGCGCCAGTTTTGTCTGCCTTCTCGCTTCTCTGTGGTTTCCTGTGCCTCCTCAATGTTCAAAGCCACGGCTTGCAGAGATTAAGTACATTCTAGATTTGAAGCTTTCGTGACTGCAAGGATTCATACTCTTAGTTCTTTCAGTAAAGTCACGTAGGTAAAACATGAAATTAAAATTAATAAAAATAATAAAAAATTAAATAAAAAATCACGACGTTTCGGAGGCAACACAAGTTTCCATCATCAGGTGGACGGAGACTTGTGTTGCCTCCGAAACTTCGTGATTTTTATTTTTTAATTAATTTTAATCTCATTTTTTACCTACGTGACTTTACCGAAAGAACTAAGAGTATAGATTAAGTAAATGTATGAGGTTGGAACCTGCAATTTATTATCACCTCCTAGCATGGGTCATAATAATGATAATGTTTTGCATTTATTAGGCACCCTTCTTTACAATATCTCAAAGTGCCATGCGTGAAGAGGACCAAAATAAAACTAGAGAATTTGGTGACGATAGAAACAAAGCAATTTCACAAACGTTGGCTGTTAAAAAGTTAATCGGTTGATGAATCTGCATTGAGTAAAGATACTTAATTCGGTTATCGGATTCACCGAGTCTATATTTATATGTTTAGCATGTGGCGGTGGCATACTATATTGGAGTTTTTTGCAATAATTATTCAATTCCTATGATTCGCAACCCCGGTCAGAAAATCCGATGGGTTACGTCAAAGTCACTTCTCGTGATGTCGAAGCAGTCGGAACGACGAATGTTATGAGCGGCTTAACACGAAGTTTCACAGTCTGTTGCCGTATAGCAGCACCCAGCCCGATGACGCTCGGCTGTCTATGTTCCAAAGGCAGATTTGACTCGTGCCCTAGACTTGGTAAGATGGTGCCTCAGTTCGTTTCGGGAATGGTTTTTTGGCGGACGGTGGCATCACGAAGATTACGACTCATGTCACACGTTCCAATGAGAAAGCGGCTGCTGAATTTAATGCAATTTCTGATGGATAGATTCTGCAGCAGCTCACCCAAGGGCAACTGCTACATCGTCAGTGTTTTATGAGGACTGGTGTGCTATGCTACCGCCAATTCGTCCATATGTGTAATGCGAGCGTAAATGGGGTTGTTGCTGGGCTCTGGTCCAATCACACGGCCCGGGGTATTGGGGGGGCGGAGCCTGGTCTGCGGGGCGTGTCGGAGGGGCCACCGTCCACCTCGGCTCCAATGGGAGGCGAGGTAAATGGGGGCGGAGCCAGCGGAGTAGTATGGGAAGGCCGGATCTGACGATCCGGAAGGAGAGGAGTCAGGGTCACGTGGGGAGAATGAATATGTGGGAGCCCGGAAGAGATCGGGGCAGTCGGGAAAGTTAAGAGGCTGAGCCACGTTGGGTGGTGAGGAAAGATCCGCGCCATCGGCCACATGGCCGAAGGACCTCTGCACGCCGTCGGCCAGCAGTGTGCGGAGTGCGGGAATAGAGGAGCTAACGGAGGAGCGTGCGTGGCACGCGAGAGAGAGCATGCATAGTACGCGAGAGGGAGCGTGCGTTGCACGCGAGAGGGAGCGTGCGCGGGGCGCGCGCGAGACGACACTGGTCCGAGAGGAGGCCAGTGGGGGGTGCGGAGAAGAACCTGAATAAAAGACAAACGGAGACCAGCATCGCCTGAAGGAGTCTTTTATTACATATGTAAAGATCTTTTTTTTCAGCATAGTGTGGGCAGAGACCATGTATGGGGCTTCTCAGATACCCAGGGTTCTATGTCGACATTAAAGGAGTTGACACAATGGCCGTTGCTGTAGCTTCCATGGGGAAAAGGTTGTTTCGCGTAAGGCATCGACCTCTGACAGGGCGAGAGTCATTCACGGCCCCATGTCCACTAAATGTGCTCGCGTGAAAATGTTTGTCGAAGTTGTCGCTATAATTACAATTAAATATCGCAAGGTTTATAATGTTGTGGATTCCGCGTATATTGAAAGCTATTTTTGACACACAGAGATTGACACTTTTTTTACAGGGTATTCAAAATTGGCAGTTGCAGCAATGTTAGCCATGGAAACGCTACACACAGAACATAAACAAGGGACTTTCCCCAGCAATAGCGCCATTGGGGTATAAACGTCATCAAAATTATATATTTAAAAAAATATAAAGTTTTTTTTTATTGAGGTATGCACACACACAAGTCTGGTACAATGCAAAGGGGGGGTGGGGTAAGGGTGGCCTTTCCGGCACTTGCACAAAGTCTAGGAATGGGGAGAAAAACATTCTCGGTGCCCAACACATGGGCGGCAGGATGGTCAGAGTTCATGAGTTTGTGCTCTTTGATGGGTGGTGAGAGGGGGGGGGGTGAAGGGAGGTGGGAAAAACAGTAACCAACGTTCTCGGGGTAGATCGGGGTGTAGGGAGGGTGTGACGAAGGGCCACACACACATTACAAATGATATAACATACACGCGGCTTTTGTGAGATGGGGTTACATCCTCTTCTAGATTTGAAGCTTTCGTGACTGCAAGGATTCATACTCTTAGTTTTTTCGGTAAAGTCACGTAGGTTAAAATTTGAAATTAAAATTAATTCTTTTATTTTTATAAATTTTTATTAAAAAAATATTTTACCTACGTGACTTTACCGAAAAAACTAAGAGTATGAATCCTCTCCTCCATCTCGGGCCCATCCGCTTCATCCCGTCACCGGGGCGTCTCCACCCCTCTGTCGTTTTAAACTTCCGAGGAAGGTGAGCGGGGGTTCCATCTGGCCTCAAAAGAGCCAGTGAAGACTGAAGACCAACTAGCTAGCCTTGGGACTACCCTGACTCGCTGCTCTTGTAAGAGCCGAGCAGGGCAAGCCAGGGGCGACCTCAGAGCAGCGAGGTATGTGTCCTTGTGAGGTCTAGGCTCGTGTTGTGAGGGTCGGACCTGAGCCGAAGCTGGGCCAGGTGAGTTAGCCTCCTCTATAGGATGGTCTGGGTTAGAGGGGTGAGGGTCAGACCTGAGCCGAAGCTGGGCCAGGTGAGTTGGCCTCTATAGGATGGTCTGGGTTAGAGGAGTGAAGGAGCTAACAGGGAAACGTTAGCCGAGGGACACTGCCTCGGATAGAACCGGGTGAAGGGGCCGTTACCCCTTCCAGTGTTAGGGTGCGCTACGTACTGTATAGTACCCAATTGTTAATAAATACGTGTTGCCTCCGTCAAACGTCTCCTGCGCTACTTCTCTTTAAGCAGGTGGTCGGTACCCGCGTGTGCTGGCGGGGTGTTGCGCCATTGTCCCCGCGTAGGGTAGGTTCATGGTCGTTCCAGTTATCAGATCCAGAATATGTATTTATACAGGAAGGAACAATATGTTCCACACTGCCCACCATGGATTTTTTGTCTGTCTGACTGTCTGTCGTGCATAAATATATATATATATAATATAAACAGCTCTTTGATTGGTGGAGACCAACTGCCGGGTACGGAGAGGGGAGGTGCCTAAGGGAGGAGGGTCAGGGGAGGGGCCTAAGGAAGGGGGGAGTCAGGAGAAGGGCCTGAGGGGGGGGTCAGAGGAGGGGCCTAAGCAAGGGAGAGGGGCCGATAGTTAAGGGGGCTGGCTAACTGGCTGGCTGCCTGGCTACCTCAAGTCAAGTGATCTTGTACACAGGTAAGAACAACAGGTTCCACACTGCCCACCAGGGATTATTTGTCTGTCGTGCATATTTGTCTGTCGTGCACGAATGCGCTGTCCAACCAAGTTCCTACCTGCCCACTCCGAAGGAACGTGTTTTTGGAGGAATCCGATAAGCTATAAGGCTCTTTTTCACAGATGTTCAGTAGAGGCACGGGGTAAGAACGTTACAACAACAAACACAATACCAAGACACGATAGTAGTGCAAAGTATAGGTAGGTAAACAAATCACCCAAACACAGACAAATACAACATTAAACCATCCCCATCCTACCAGACAAAGTCCACTGAGGTATTAACTTATTGTTCAGAAGCGACATGGTAACGAATGATAGTGCAACAAAATATATTTTCGTTCTGTCTGCTTGTTTAAACCAGAAAAAAATCCTTAAATTTTGATTTAAAGTTTTTGTGACTGCAGGGATTAATATTCTTGGTTCTTTCGGTAACGTCACGTAAAAGGGAAATAAAAAAATAAAAAATATATAAAACAAAAAAAATTCTCACGACGTTTCGACTACAACACAAGCAATCATCATCAGGTGTGAAATCCACAGCAAGAAAATTCAAAATTTCAAATTTTCTTGCTGTGAATTCACACCTGATGATGATTGCAACACAAGCAATCATCATGTGTGAAATCCACAGCAAGAAAATTCCAAATTTCAAAATTTCTTGCTGTGAATTCACACCTGATGATGATTGCTTGTGTTGCTGTCGAAACGTCGTGAGAATTGTATTGTTTGATATGTTTATTATTTTATTATTTCCCTTCTACGTGACTTTACCGAAAGAACAAGAAAAGCCTTGCTGAGTCTCAGGACTGTCTTAACCAGGAGGATCCTGCCATGATTTGCCATTAGGGGGTGATGATTGCCGGGTGTAAAAAATCCCGATGGAGAACATTTGCAGGACACTTGGCCTATTTGGACTATGACCCACCAACACACACATTATATCACGAGATCTTTAGTTTAGGGTGGTGTATAGTAACGCAGTGTGTAATTTAATGTTGTGTTTGTCTATGGCAGTGTATAGTATGGGGTATATCCGTGTGATGTAAGAAAAAAGTTTAGCTGGAGGCATATTATATTTTTTGCGACGTATAAGTGTAATGTATGACGTACTGTTAGTAGCTCAGCTTATTGGAGAGTATATTGCGTATATTGATTATATTGATGTGGTGGTTTGGCTGCTGTAGCTCCTTACTATAAAAATTTCCCTCCCTTTATTACAGCTAATCCTACTTCCTCCCTTTCTGACTGCTAATCCTACATAATACACGAGCATAATATGACTTTGAGACCCCCCAACCACCTACACATTCCACAAATAGTGACTAATCCCATATCTGCATTTTCCATAAATATACTAAATTCATCTGTTGATATGTAAATTCCTTTGTCAAGGAGCTCTCCTCCTCTAACACAGCTTAAATATACGATGCCAAGCTTTGTGGTGTTCATTCGGACACTGTCTTTCCGACAGCCCTGTTCTTCACCTGAGGACGGCTGCTTGCGTTGTGGCCGAAAAGTCGTGAGAATTGTATTTTATTATGCTTCATTTTTAATATTTTATTATTTCCCTTCTATGTAACTTTACCGAAATAACCAAGAGGAGGGATCTTTAGTGTCCACTGTGAGTGAAACAGACGGCGCGTAGCATCATTTTTCAATGGTTAATGTACAGCAGTATTAATCAGGGCAGGCACTGGGCTTGAACTGTGAACATCTGCAACGAGGGCAACCATGCTACGGCGAGGCGATGTCACCATCCCGCCGTGGAAGGGGTCTGTGGAGTGGGGTTGAGAGAAGGTAATCAAGGAGCAAACACCGTCATCACGCAAACTCCGGTCATCCTTGCAGTCGCGGCTTTTTGACTGGCCATCGTTCGACGACAGTCACTGCATAGCGAGGCGTTTTCGGATGCATTTCTGCGGCCATCTGGAACGCTCTTCCTTCCGATATAGGGAAGCAACTGCAGCCATGCACTTTGAAATCATAATTAAAAGCGAAATTCTTTAAAACTCCTTTTTGCATTTAGCGTGTTGTCATTCCTCTGATGAACACGGTTTTCTACGTGTGGTGCGAAATAAGTTCTACATACATACAGAGTTTGGAGTCTCTACTGGTGACGTATGTATGTTATACTTCTTTCGCACCATAAGTTGCCAACCGTGCTAATTGGAGGTGCAAGAGAAGGACTACAAACTAACATCTCGCCTCCTACAGGATCAAGTCGGAGAGGAGACGCGAGCGGTGGAGGAGAAGAGGAGGGAGGCGGAGGCGTCTGTTGGACGCATGGAGGCCACTCGCGAGGACGTGCAGGTTCTGTGACCCCATAACCTCCACCTTGTGTGAGATCTGTGACTCTCCGTTTGAGAACAACTCCGTAGTTTCAAGTGAACTTCGTATAACAAACTTCCCCTCAACATTAACTAATCTCCTTCAATTTAAAGCTTTCGTGACTTCAGGGATTCATCTTCTTGGTTCTTTCAGTAAAGTCACGTAGAAGGGAAATAATAAAAATAAAACATTATCAAATAATTCTCACGACAGATCTGTTCTTCACCTGAGGACGGCTGCTTGCGTTGTGGCCGAAACGTCGTGAGAATTATTTTATTATGTTTTATTTTTATTATTTCATTATTTCCCTTCTACGTGACTTTACCGAAAGAACCAAGAAGATAATCTCCTTCACTCGCTAGTTTCCACTCCGCACTCAAAACTCACTTATTTTCCCGAGCTCACCACACAACCCCTTAATTTCCACCGCATATCCGCCATCGCGACTTTTCCCTCTACATTTTCTCATGGCTCTCACTCATTTCCCTTTCATTCAATCCGCTCGTCATCACTTAAATTTTGCTTTCACCGATTTCATTGCTTTCTGTCATCTATTTCAGTAACCTCATCTCCACCATTACATTCATACGTAATATTGTTAATTCTGTGTAAAGTGCCTTGTATAAGGCGCTATTCAAATTATGTTAAGATAAAGCAATACAGTAGTCCAATGGTTAACGTTTTTTATCCACTCCACGAAAACTACTGTTTACCGAAATAACTGTTAATCGAATTCACTTCTGAGTTGAAAAATACGTAAAAATCACAGAGTTTGCAAGAGAGCCGTTTCCACTGCCTAAACAGAAAACGTACAGTTGAAAACAAAGGCAGTCGAGGTCTGAACGCTCATAAATGGTGCGTTGCTGATCGAATGAGGCGTGGTCAGCACCGACTTACTTACGATTGGCCGAAATTGGCACCCACGTACATAGAACGTAAAAATATCGATAGTCAACATTTTACCGTTAGTCGAAACCATGGGATCCTATGGAAGCCTAAACATTAATCGAAAACTCGTTAACCGATTTCACTGTTAACTGAGTGACTCCTGTATTAGTGTCTCGTTCCGGGCTTCCCCCATTTATCAAACGAATGACGTTACATCTGAATCCACCACCCAATATTGTGGCTACAAAAAAAATTAGTTTAGCAGATTACATTTTTTGTGCATAAACGTCATATTTCTTTAAAGGTTCAGATGCACTGTGTAGCCCTTTTAAAGAACCATTACATGTGTAATAAAAGGACTCAGACACTTCTTTCTGTCTTCGTGTCCTTTATTGGGTTCTTGTCTTCTCCCACACGGCACTCTGTTATAACTCTGTATTTATAGCCCCCGGCTGTTGACTCTCTTTTATAGCTTCCTTTCTCTTCCCGCAGACTCTCTGCTTCATCTACCGTAACCTCCTCCCTGCAGACTCGCTGCTACCCCTATGCAGACTCTCGCTGCCACCCCTATGTGCAGACCCTCTGGCTGCTACTGTATGCAGACCCGCTGCTGACTCTGTATGCAGCCCCGCTGCTGACTCTCTGTGCAGCCCCGCTGCTGACTGCAGCCTCCTCGCTGCTTCGGGTCGGTCACCGCTGGCCAACGGTGCCGATCCTCGCTCCCCCGTGTTCGTGGCGATCTCGCCACCCTCCGCTTCGCCCTTCGTGGCCTCTCTCTGTTCCTGGTTCCCCGTCACTCTCCTCCTCTTCCGGTTCCCCTGCTTCTATATCTTAACCCCTCTCCCCCCACGTGACCTAACTCCTCCCCTCATGACGTCACCTCCGGAGGGCCGTTTACGCTCGCATTACATCACCCTCCCCCATAAAGAAAATCCAGCCGACCTCGGCTGAATTGCAACCTGACAAGCAATGCGGGTGTAAAGGACCAACACGTAAAAAGACACGAAGCATGCAACAACAATATAACAAGAACACAACACAACACAATTTTAACAAAACGTGAGGGATTTCGAGCGAGTACGGGTAGCCGGGCCGTCCCGGACGGTCGGCAGCCCACCCGCTGAGCGGGAACGTGGAAGGGTTTTAAGGGCGATGGGAGCGAGTTCATCCGTCGCCATTGGAGGCCCGCCACTGTCCCGGTCGCGTCCAGAGACATCCCGTAATTGCGTCCGCGGAGGGATAGGAAGAGCTGCAGGTCCCGTAGGTTCTGCGGCTCCGGTCGGCATCCCACGAGCGGAACGTCCTCCTCCCTGCGGCGTCACGGCCGGCTTGTCTGTGAAGGGTACGACAGGCGCTCTCGCAAGGTCAGCAGACACAGGCAAGGGCGAGTCGGCAGCAACAGACCCCGGCAAGGCAACTTCGGGAGATGACGCATCCGGCCGCGGGGCAATGTATGGCTTCAACCGGGATGTATGCACGAACCAGCGCCGCGAACCAACCTGAACACGCGCCGACTGTGGGTTGGGAACCTCAATGAGGCGGACCGGACCTTGCCACGGTTTATGTAATTTAGGAGAGGTACCTGGCCGCACCTGCGGGCAATGAAGCCAGGCCAGGTCCCCCTTTTTCCAGGGGCACTCCCCCTTCGAACGTCGGGCACACCGCTCATTCCTGGCCTGGGCTTTGGCTGTAGCCATGCGGGCTCTTTCCCTCGCCTCAGTGACACGGCGAACGTTGTCCTGAATATACTCAGGAAGAGGCTTAACAGGTCCCCTCGCACCGGTTCCCAACTGCTCATTAATCGGCGGCACATTTTCACGGCCGTACATAAGAAAGAACGGCGAGTATCCAGTAGCCGCGTGCGGCGTCATGCGATACGCCGAAAGCACCCCAGGGATATGCAAATCCCAATCAGATTGATTTTCCCCGACCGTATGGCACAGCATGGCGGACAGAGTCCGATTCAACCGTTCCACCATACCATCCGTTTGTGGGTGGTAGGGGGATGTCCGTATCTTTTTAGTTCCAAGAGCCGCACACACCTCCCCCAAATAGAAAGGCGTCAGTGATAGACGCCGCTGACTGGTCAGGCAAAGGCCAGGCCATCGGCCAGCGGGAGAGGTACTCCACCCCCACCAGTAAATACTTATTTCCCTTAGCGGATGGCGGAAAGGGTCCCAAAATATCTAACGCCACCAGCTCATTAACCCGAGATACTTGAATCGATTGTATCGGCGGAACATATGGATGTTTTTGGCGGCTTACGGCGGGCACAATCGAGACACGCGCGAACGTGACCGACGACATCTGTCGTCATGCCGTGCCAATAATAGTCTCGTTGCAGCGTCAATAGGGTTTTCTGCACCCCCAGATGTAAAAGTGTGTCACAGTGCAAAGATCTGATCAACTCGTACCGCAATGACGCAGGTACAACGAGACGCCAGTGTTCCTGTATCCCTTCCCTCCACATCAGCAACCCATCTCGGAGAGCAGTTTCCGAAATACCACCCGCACCGAGTTCCTTACCCGCCTTCTCCGTTCGTTTTCGTAACGACACCAAAGAATCGTCCAACATTTGCTCCCGAATCCACACAGACCTCGGAAGACGCAAAATCCCGTCAGTCGGTCCCCCATCAACCGGTCCCGGTGTAAGCGGAGTTTCGAGAACATCCACCGACAGCGCGACAGGCTGAGGGGGGAGCTGAATCGGTCCACACCTATGCGTCCCCGACGCACACGCACAAGGGGATTGTTGCGGCAACCTGGAAAGTGCGTCCGCGTTAGCGTGACGCACACCCTTCCGATGATGAATTTGGAAGGAAAATTCTTGCAGCGTGTCCAGCCACCTCGCCAATTGTCCGGATGGCTGGTCCATCTTAAGAGCATACTGCAAGGCCGCATGGTCCGTGCGGACAATAAACGACCGACCGTACAGATACTGTCGAAATTGGCGGAGAAAAAAAACAATGGCCAAAAGTTCCCTGCGAGTGACGCAGTAACGGGTTTCCGCGGGAGACAAAACTCGACTCCCATACGCCACCACACGCTCAACACCACCTTTTGACTGGGACAACACCGCCCCAATACCATCGCATCAGTATCCAGAATGAAGGGATGTCCAAAATCCGGATAATCCAACGTCGGTGCAGTAGCCAGTAAATCGCGCAGGCTCCGAAACGCCGCCTCCTCCGGCGGTCCCCACACAAATTTATGCCCCTTCCCAATAAGGAGATGCAAAGGCCTGGCGATAGTAGCGAAATTCGGAACAAACCTCCGATAATATGAGGCGAACCCCAAAAACCGACGCACATCACCCACCGTGGCCGGGGTTGCCCAATCCCGGACACACGCAGTTTTCTCTGGATCCGTGGCCACCCCGTCCGCACTAACAATATGTCCCAAGTATCGAACGGAGCGTTGCAGTAGGTGACATTTCTTAGGCTTGAATTTCAAATTAGCAGAACGCATTCTGGCGAATACAGCCTCCAACCGCAGTAAATGCTCATCAAATGTGCGGCTGAAGACTATAATATCATCTAAATAAATGAGACATGTCTCCCACTGCAACCCCGTCAATACCAACTCCATCAACCTCTGAAAAGTGGCAGGGGCAGCATTCAACCCCATCGGAAGACAGTTAAATTGGAATAACCCCTGCGGCGTACGGAAAGCTGTCTTTTCTCGCGAGGGCTCATCAAGGGGGAGCTGCCAGAAGCCCGAAGAGAGATCTAGCATTGAAAAAAACTTAGCCCCTGACAAGGCGTCGAGAGAATCGTCCATACGCGGCAGGGGATACGCATCTGCCACCGACACTTTATTCAACTTCCGAAAATCCACACAAAATCGCAATTTACCATCCTTTTTTTTAACCAACACAACAGGCGCGCCCCACGGGCTATTAGACGGAGATATAATATCCGCTTTCAACATGTCTTCCACTGCCCCTCGAACATGCTCACGCTCAGCCGGACTTATCCGACGCGAGTTCAAACGGATAGGGGCAGCGTCCTCCGTGTCGATATGATGAGAGAGCAGCGAGGTGCGTCCCAAGTCCAAATCGTCCGAGCTAAACACATCGGAATAGCTCGATAATAATTTATGAATCGCACAACGCTGCTCGGCGGAAAGGGCCGAATTTTCCCCACATAATTCGGCGATCCAACGATCATCAACCCCTCCATCGTGTGAAACACCACCCACCAGCCCCCCGTCCGGCAGGTCACTCTGAGCCGTAAACGCCGTAGTGGCATGTGCCACAACGGTACCAGCCGGCACACACACGCTTTCAGCACTCGCATTTAACACCTGCAAAAACGGGCGCTGATCTGGACGGACAATAGTTTGCGCCCCTACCAGCGCTAAGCCGCCCGTAACCGCGGCGGACGGCGACAGCAAAATCCCAAAAGCACCCTGCCGACCCGGAACCGGCTTCCGGTATCGCAAGGGAATGAGCATCTGCGAGCCAGGTGGAATATCAACCGAAACTTCCGATAGCGCCTGCACCTGGGTGACAGGAGCCGGTCGCCCCCAGGCGGACTGTAAAAATGCCAATTTCCGGCCCCCCGGTAGTTCTATGCAATTTTCATTGATTCTAATTAGAATGGGCATCTTAGCCAAAAAATCCGTACCCAACAGGCAAGGAACCGCCAGGGACCTCGAAATCAACACAACGCCCGAGGCCGAGACACCCCCGATAGAAATGTTAGCGTCCACCTGTCCCACGATGCCCATACTACCCCCGTTCGCAGCGATGCAGGAAGCGTAAGCCGGCCTCACGGCCCCCGGTGGGATGTTCAAAAGATGGAATATCACATCCGAAATAATGGTCGCGGACGCACCGGAATCCACCAAAATACGTACGTCCACCCCTTGGATGGACCCAGGTACAGTGGACGAACCGGTAGCGGCCGCGACAACCCGCCGAGCCAGCTTACGCCACTGCGTTATCGAGCGACAAGGCTCAGATACTGGCCTCCAGCATTTAACAACATCCGAGTCGCATAACAACGGCGATGAGTGAGGTGTCAGGCCTTGCCGGGTGTCTGGTGCGCACCGACTTGCCTGTGCTGGAGGGTCTTTCTTTGGGGCGTCCGCTGTCGAGGCCTCCTGCTGGGGCGGCCCCGGAACCCGGGCCCAGCAGTCCCTGGCATAGTGGCCCCGACGGCCGCAACGGAAGCAGTCGACGTCGGGGCGGCGCGCAACGGGCACCCCGTCCCGACGCGGCCGCACCGGCGGCGGAGCCCGCGGCCCCGGCCCGCTCCGGCCCGGCCACGGAGCAGAGGCAGCCGACAACTCCTTCTGGCCGGTCGCATCCGGCACGTACACGGCCTTTGTAGGGTCCCACCCTACGGCCCCCCCATCGACAACAGGACCGCCCGTCCACGCCGTGACCTGTTTCCAGCGGCGGAGATTGAACTGGGCGTCAAGACACTTGGCTGCGGCCCGGGACGTGAGTTTTTCGTGACCGCACGCTGGCATAGGAATGCCAAGATCTCGGGACAACTCCAACATCTTCCCCAAGATGAGAGGTTCCAGCAGGTCAGGCTCCGTCTCCGGGTAAGCGGCCATAGCAAGTTCCAACACGGCGCCCCTGTACGCCACAGGTGACTCCTCAGGTGCGCGTTGCCGCTGCACGAATCGGCGATGGGCGTCATCCGGTGGCTCGTACGCGTCCGCCATTTCCTCGAACACCCCTCGCAGAGTTTTCTTCTTCGCAGCTTTTATAGAGCGAAAAAAACGAACGGACTCATCATCAAGAAGAGTCGGGAGCACCTCCAGTGCCTCAGCGTCCGTCCACCTTGCCGTACGTACCGCCGCCAAAAATCTACAGGCGAACGCACTCCAATCGCCCCCGATGGAGAATTCTTTGACGGTTGTAAGGTGACGACTGCGACTCCTTGGCTTGCTTCCGTCCGTCGCTGACTCTTCCGGCGGTAAGTTCAGCAAGGCGTCGCAACGTGGTGTCGCCAAGATGGCGGACGATCCTCGCGGCGGCCCCAAAATGGCGGCTTCCCGCCTTCCGTGGTGCGCCACGCCCAAGATGGCGTCTTCACGCCGCGTGGCCGATGGCGGCGCCATCGAAGACACTCCGGGCTCCTGCCGATCACCACCCTCACCTTCCAACGCCGCCCTTGGCGTGACAAGCTCACACAACTCAGTGATGACGTTTTTGAGAGTTGCCAGTTGCTCCGCCATCCGAGTCCATCTTAAATCCTCGTCCTTCAACGCAGATGGGTCGGACGAAGCGGCAACCTCCTCGACACCCGGGCCCTCACGGATCTCTCCCTCCGCCGAAGTGAAGCCGACCGCAGGAGGAAGATCGTCGTCGTCCGAAGATGAATCCGACGCCGGAGATGGAATATTCTTTTTCCTCAATTGTTTCGCCATGCCGTTTCACTTCTGACTCCAGTGTAATAAAAGGACTCAGACACTTCTTTCTGTCTTCGTGTCCTTTATTGGGTTCTTGTCTTCTCCCACACGGCACTCTGTTATAACTCTGTATTTATAGCCCCCGGTTGTTGATTCTCTTTTATAGCTTCCTTTCTCTTCCCGCAGACTCTCTGCTTCATCTACCGTAACCTCCTCCCTGCAGACTCGCTGCTACCCCTATGCAGACTCTCGCTGCCACCCCTATGTGCAGACCCTCTGGCTGCTATTGTATGCAGACCCGCTGCTGACTCTGTATGCAGCCCCGCTGCTGACTCTCTGTGCAGCCCCGCTGCTGACTGCAGCCTCCTCGCTGCTTCGGGTCGGTCACCGCTGGCCAACGGTGCCGATCCTCGCTCCCCCGTGTTCGTGGCGATCTCGCCACCCTCCGCTTCGCCCTTCGTGGCCTCTCTCTGTTCCTGGTTCCCCGTCACTCTCCTCCTCTTCCGGTTCCCCTGCTTCTATATCTTAACCCCTCTCCCCCCACGTGACCTAACTCCTCCCCTCATGACGTCACCTCCGGAGGGCCGTTTACGCCCGCATTACACATGTTACATCACTCACACCAGTCTACAATACCAATGAATTAATGGGTAGCTATGAATATTTTGGTGACAATCAGGTTGATATTTTTGCTTATATATGCATTTAGCAATGATAAATGTCACGTACGTGAATGCCTCACAACGATTCTTTATTGTGTCATCACCGACGCAATGATCTGTCCAGGCATTGTTAATCGGTCAAAGGAGAGCAAATGTCGCATGTTTTAGAGCTGTACGAATAGGGAACGATTTAAACCCACGCTTGTCTCAACAGCAGTGGCGGCTCCTGCAAAATCTCTCAGGGGGGGCAAATGTCTGGATGATTGATAAGGATAAGGTCCACCCATGCAATGGATAAATTAACAGCTTAAGCATGTAAAGGCAACTTCACTTCTTTAATAATAATGAAAAATAAAGTGACTCTTACAATACATCTTGTTTGTTTCTATACTCACTATTGAAACAAACCACTCAAGTTTATTTTATTAAAGATTCCACTAGGTGGCGATAAATTATATTGTTGGATGAAACGTGCTTACGTATGATGACGTTAGCACGTATGATGACGTAAGCACGTTAGGGCGAGCCCTCCCGGAAGCCATAGAGAATGCATTGGAGCGCCCGCCGTTCGAAAAAAAACATCTTTCAATGTAAGTCTATGGGGCCACTCGGGGCGATTCTCAGCCGGAGTGAAATCGCACAAAAAGAGGCGGTACTCCACAGAACGTGACATGACGCTGATTGGACTATATCCAGAGGCACAGTGATGGCTAGCGTGACTCTGTGGTTGAATGACATTGGTGGTGCGTCGCCCAATTGCCCTAATGAAGAAACCGCCCCTGCTCAACAGGGATCAATGACTGGTGTGAAGGAGCAAATCAAAATCAGGTGCACCCGCCTGAGAAAGGCACTGGATGAAGACGAGAAGGCGGCTTTACATCGCGCGGAACTGAAGGAGAAGGAGCTGCTGTCCCAGATCGACAAGAACATCGCCCATCACAAGCACGAGATCAGCGAGCTACAGGCAGCAGCCGCGCGCCTGCGCACTCTTCAGGAGGAGGGGGACCCGCTCACGTTCCTGCAGGTAGAGCGCTCGCGAAGCCAGGGCGAGTGCCCCAGTTTGGCAGAGCCCTCAGAAGTGCAATAAACCTTCTCGAGACGACTTCTGGAATCAGTCCTTTATTTTCCACTTCCACAGTTACACACACACACTCCCCGTTGCTGGCAGGCAACGTGAAGCGGGCAGACAGCCAGCGAAGTCGCACCGCGCGCACGTGGCACCCAGAGCCCCGTACGCGCGTGGCTCCTGCTCTCTTCGTTCACAGGTCTCCTCCCGACCCCTCCGTCTCTCCCCCTCTTAACCCCTGGGTCACGTGGTACTCCTAAGCCAATCCTCAGTAGTCAGCGTCGACCGCTCCAGATCACTCCCCGTCAATTCCCGGGACCACGCCTCTGATCCGGCTTCCCATTAGCTGAGGCAAAGATCGGCCAAGCCAATCATCTTAGCTAACATGCCGTGATCACGCCGAGGCCATGCTCCCGGGCTCTCCCCTCATTGGCTACAAAGCGGGACCGGCAAGCCGATCGCCACGTGAGCCATACATGGTTCTTATTACAGAAGTATAGAGACTCCTGGCTCAAAGGTTCACGTATATTAACAAATGTGTGTGTGTGTTCAACTACGGTTGCTGAGCACAGGCCCCCAAGGCGTATAAAAAAGTGGCTTAACACGTAGGAGGGTTTTGCGACCAATGTCATTCATAATAGAGGGTTTTTTTAGGGTTGGATCGCGTAAATATATAAATGTTGTGTCGTTAATACCCGCCACCACCCGACACAGCCAACTAGTAAGGGTTGTCAGGTTAATAAAACGTGTCAATTCGTCACTAGTACAGCACACCGGTGTGTTGGAGAGCCAAGCCACAACATTTACAATCTGATTAACGTCGTACTCAGATTGGTGAAACGTCGTACTCAGATTGTAAATGTTGTGGCTTGGCTCTCCAATACACTGGTTAGTGCTGTACTAGTGACGAACTGACACATTCTGTTTACGTGACGACCCTAACTAGTTGGCTGTGTCGGGTGGTGGCGGGTTTTAACGACACATTTACATTTATACTCGATCTAACCCCAAAAAAACCCCTCTTATGGAAACAAGTGGATTGCTGCTGATAGCATTGATAATATGTCAAATTACAACACACGCACAGTTATAGGAACTCTGGATTAGTAAAGGGGGAAATTCAAGGATGAGGAAAGGAGAAAGAGAAATGTGGTGTCCTGCAATACGGTTGGTAAACAAGGTACGGATGAAAGAGTCATTCCTGCATAATGCGTCCTTGACATTGGAGTCATCAAGACGTGAAGTTTATTGAAACGGTGGCTGTGGTTGTAGCAAACTAATTATAATGACACTCTCAGATGAAGGGTTCAGATGATCGGAGCTGGAGAACATAGCTTCACTCTTTGATGAAAGATACTGATTTGTTTGCAATGCGACCGTTGGCTAAAACTTGATATCAATATGCCAGTCATGGGAATCACGTAATTAATTCGAATGATGGAGATAGCATCACACTTACGCTTCTTTCTCTCTATCCCACAGGGGCGTCTGAAGGACACGTGCAGGTATAGCTCATAAATCATCACAGATAACACATGAGGTCGCGCAGTGTGTGGACCGTGGGCTATCTGATGATGTATGTGGTGATGATGCTCTGTGTGCTGACCCTGTGTGTTAGTCATGGGCTGTCCATGGGGGCATGGGTTCTATGTAACGATGCTGTATTTAAAACGTCGATTACATGCGGTACTGATATATGGGGTGATGCTGACCGATTTTCCTAATTGTTGTACACACAGGAAAGATGCTCCAAAGAAAACCCCGCCCCCAGCTCCTACTCCACTGGACGCCCCCACGATCCGCTCCCTCGAGAGAGTCACGGGCAAACTCCCTGCCCCTCGTCTGTGAGTTTATCACTCTTGCTTCAGTATAGACGGGTGGCCTGTGCTGTGCAAACAGCTGAGTCCCAGATACTAGGATCCTGGTTTCAACCTTCAGTTTTAACTCCTTTCCAGGATAGTCAATGGCCTGACTGAGCAGCATGAAGTACGGTGAAATATTTTACAAGACTCGCATGGCATCAGCAGAACCTTGTCCCGCAGTGTAATTGACAAAGTAATGTACATGCTATGATTTTGACCATTTTGTATTAGAATATGTTTCGATTTAAAGCTTTCGTGACTGCAGGGATTCATCTTCTTGGTTCTTTCGGTAAAGTCACGTAGAATGGAAACAATACAAATAATAAAATAAAACATAATAAATAATTCTCACGACGTTTCGGCCACAACGCAAGCAGCCGTCATCAGGTGAAGACCAGGTCTGTCGGGGAGACAGCGTCTGAATGAAACAGCACCATGCTTGGAGCGTATATTTAAGCTGGGTTGGAAGGGGGGGGGAAGGGCGCTTTGACAAAATAATTTGCATATCAAGAGGAATTTAGCATATCTATGGGCATATTCATGGAACATGCAGGTATGTGATTAGTACTACTTATGCCCGTGCATTATGCAGGACTACGTGACTTTACCGAATATTAGAATATGTATTAGGGAATGCTTTATTACATACTGCGCATGTATTTTAATACACAACAGCTGTTGTTATACTTGTGCTGTAATTACACATGCATTGTTATTATCTTTACTACAGATGGATGTTCGCCGGTTCTGGACCCAAACTCCGTCCACAACAAACTCCAGATTTCTCCAGACCTCAAGACGCTGACAAAGACCAGCGTCTCCCAGCGTCGCCCCGATCACCCGCATCGGTTTGATTGGTACTACCAAGCCCTGTGCTCTGACAGCTTCTCGTCAGGTCAGCACTACTGGGAGGTGGATGTGGGAGGCTCGGAAGTGTGTGCAGTTGGAGTCGCGTACGAGGCGGTCTCGCGGACAGGCAGAGAAGCATCCAGCCTGGGAGGGAACGACTCATCCTGGATTTTATTACGTAAAGACAACAGCTACTCAGTACGCCATAACGGGGTATTTACCTCACTGCCAGTGAGGGATCCTCCTTGGAGAGTCGGGCTTCATTTGAACTGGGAGGCGGGGCTGCTGTCGTTTTACCGTGCCGAATCCATGGAGCCTTTGTACTCAATTCACCACGCGTTCACTCGGCCTCTTTACCCCGCTTTGTACGTGGGGGGTAAAGATGGTGAGACAGTGACGATTTTGGACATTAACCGTGGGTGCTGAGATCGCTGAGTGTAAACAACACACAGAGCAGACACACAGCATATAAAAAATACAAAAAATGCAACATAACACGTTATATATTATATAGCAGTGGCGGGCCGTTTATTTTACACCTAGGCCTTGAGTAATATCCTCCCGCAATTAAACCGCCTTCGAATAACATCACCATGACACTAGGGCTATAGGCTAATGTTATTCGACATAATCACCCAATATTCACAGTGACAGTAACCTTATCAAATGGTATAAAGTTATTTAGCACGAGGCTCAACACCTATGAGAGTTACAATACACTAATTGTAGAGATATTAATACATGGTGACTGAAACCAACAAGGATGTACCACATTTGTGTTCTTTCAGTAAAGTTACTTAGAACCAAAGAGTATGGATTCCTGCAGTCACGAAAGCTTAAAATCAAGATGTACCACTATTACGCTGTATGACAGGATGCTGCATCACAAATAGGACTTTGCATAGCCCAAAATCAATGTCATTACCAAAGAAACAAGAACAACTCACACAACAACAGTCACATTTTAATCAGACGGTGCTGTGTGCACAAACCTTCCTAGAGGAAATTTCAACGTAATGGAAATGGTCGTGCGGATTAATAAATTGATGGCAATCATCGCCAGTTGTTTTCAAGCTTCTTCGAGAAGTTAACCGCCACTATTATGATCTTATCGTGTTTCACAAGGTACAGTGTCTGTCCAAATGGGTGCAGTCCTGGTGAGGATTGTGTCATGTCGAGGAAATTAGCCAACAAACTAAAAAGGGGAGGAAAGGAAATGGGAGTAGGAGGCCATATAGTACTAGTTCTTGTGGATGAATGGCCTGTATGATGG